CGACATCAAGCAGCGCTTCTCGCCACCGCACTCGCAGGCCAAGAAACGGATCCGCGGAGCGCACCTTCCGCACCCTCTTCGAGACGGCGGCGCACGATGCTTTTTGCTGCGGACCTGGACAAGCCGTTCTGGGGTTTCGCCCGTGCAGCACGCCACGCTGCTGCACAACATCGCTCCACGCAGGAGCCTCAAGGACAAGTCACCGTTCGAGGCCCTGACTGGGCACCCCTTTGACGTCAGCCTGCTGCGCGTCTTCGGCTCGCCGGCCTACGTGCATGTGGAGAAGAGCAGCACGCGGCACAAGCTTGACCCACGCTCACGCGTTGGCGTCTACGTCGGCTTCGCCGAGGAGGACCAGGCCCACGTCGTCTGGATGCCGGACACGCGACGCGTTGTCCACACCATCCACGCTCGCTTCGGCGCCATCAAGAACAAGCACGCCGCCTCCTCTCAGCAGCAGCAAGAGCAGAACAGCGGTGCCTCTGCTTCGCATGCCAACAAGACCGCTCAGCGTTCGACCGAGGACAGTGCCACCGGCGCTCCCCCTGCACCACGTGCGGGGGAGCCGCAGCTCCAGCCACGCGCCCTTGGCGGCTCCGTCTGGGACCAGCTGCTGTTGTCCGAGACCCTCGGCGACAAGGACACCTCTGGTGGCTCAACCACCACGTGTCACGTTGCCACCAGCGCTGCTGGTACGGGGGAGAAGACATCAGCAGTGGGTGGTCATCTACCAGACATCGCTGCTGACAGTGCTGTCACGTCAGCTGAGCCAGCCACCGTCAAGGAGGCGCTTGCCTCGCCAGACTCTGAGGAGTGGCGCCAAGCCATCCTGGACGAGTTTGCGGCAATGCAGGCCAATGACGTCTACGACGTCGTGCCTCGCGCTGACCTTCCCAAGGGCCACAAGCTGCTCCGCAGCATGGTCATCTTTCGGAGGAAGCGCGATGACCAGGGCAAGGTGATCAAGTACAAGGCGCGCTGGGTTGCCAAAGGCTACTCCCAGGTCCACGGTGTCAACTACACGGACACCTTTGCTCCGACGGCTACCATCGCAGCCATCCGCACCATGCTCGCCATGGCCGTCGCGCGTGGCATGGACATCCAACAGATGGACGTCAACACGGCGTTCCTCAACGCGCCCGTGGACCACGAGATCTACGTCCAGCCACCGGCCGTCGACGGGATATTCTCGCCGAATACGGTCCTGCGCCTCAAGCGCGGGCTGTATGGGCTGAAGCAGAGCCCGCGCC